AAATGGTAATTTTGATAGCTATAAAGATCCTGTCTAGAAATTAAAAAAACTCTCATAATATTAGACATTGTAAAGATGTGGAGGTAGGCTTTTTGCTGAAGCATCACAAAATCCCAGGAGGAAACAAGAAAGAAATTCTAGGATAGTTAGTAGCACATATAAGTTGGGGTTTTTCTAATGTAATTTTAAGGCAAAACTGAGAGGAGAAAAACTTTTTTATTTTATGTTGCTAGAAAGAAGCTTGGATTTTCACTGTTGTTGCATAATAATGAGTTGGGGCCTACAAGAAAGCTGGGGAGGGACTTTTTATAAGGGCATGTAGCTACAGGACATGGTGTAATGGCTTTAAACTGGAAGAGGGGAGATTTAGGTTAGAAACAGGGAGGAAATTCTGTAGTGTGAGGGTGGTGAGGCACTGGCCCAGGTTCCCCAGAGAAGTTGTGGATGCCCCCTTCCTGAAAGTGTTCAAGGCCAGGTTGGATGGGGCTCTGAGTACTCTAATCTAGTGGGAAGCGTCCCTGCCCATGCAAGGGCATTTGAACTAGATGACATTTAAGGTCCCTTCCAACCCTAGTCATTCTGTGATTCTGTGATTATTCTGTTCTGTGTGCAATGGTTTACTTTCGGTGCAGCTAGTGCTGCACGACCAAACGTACTCTGGGCAAAAGTAAATGCATTGGATCCCAAGCAGTTAATCCATAGAAACTGTACGAAATTGTTCACAAGTATGAAATTAGAAGGATTCTTCTCAAGGACAGCTTTCCAATTACTAGCTATTTTTCAGGACTTCTGTTAAGCTATTGAAACAAAGAAAGTTCACCCAACAGTTTTAAGTACTGTTAAGTCGGTATTCTTTGTTCATGGTGCTGGACACACAGGGATGGCTCCTCCAAAAATGTGTGTGCCTTACAGGGTAAGATGAGAGATATATATACAGCTGATACTTAATTATGTGTAATATTTCTAAGAAACAGTTTATATATTCATTAGTTTCCTGATAAATAATTTACATAAGTGTCTGCCCATTATCGCATTTGTGTTAAGTCTCCTGGGGGTCATTTACTTCATCCTCGAGTCTTCCTCACAGGAACCTTTGGCTGAGTTCTGCCTCTTCTCCCATTTATCTCTGCTGACTCCCCAGTAGAGTTGGTTACAGCAGGGCATCCCTAGTTGCAGTTGAATGGCTTCTTCTTTTTCTTCAAGGACCCTTGTATTTCTTCTCTAAAACTACAGATAAGTTCACACAAAAGGCTTTTACAATTCACTAGCAGTAGGCCCAGATGAGAGATTTATACCCTACAAGCAGTTAATGATTTGAAGTCAGGGTTTGGTTAATGCTCTATTTCACTATTAACCTGAATTTGTATAAATATATGACAATCAGAAATAGGAAATGAGACATAATCCAGTGATCATAATCATGTTAGCACCCTCTCCCCTCAGGCTTTTGATAGCCTTCCTCACTGCTTCCTCTTCATATGCAGTCTATGTTTTGACTCTGTTGACATTCATAGAATCATAGAATCATGGAATTGTTTGGGTTGGAGGGGACCTTAAAGACCATCTAGATCTGATCAGGTTGCTCAGAGCCCCATCCAACCTGCCCTTGAACACTTCCAGGGATGGGGCTTCCACAGCTTCCCTGAGCAACCTGTTCCAGTGTCTCACCACCATCATAGTAAAGAATTTCCTCCTAATGTCAAATCTAAATCTCCCCTCTTCAAGTTTTAATCTGTTAACCCTTGCTCTCTAACTACAAGCCTTTGTAAAAGGTCCCTCCCCAGCTTTCTTACATGTCCCCTTCAGGGACTGGAAGGCCTCTATGAGGTAAGGGTCAGCAGAACTGCCACCTTGGACTTCTGATGGGCACTTGTTTCAGAGACTAGTCAACAGAGCCCCTTGTGAGGCCATCCTGAAGGACAAAGGAGTGCAGGAAGGCTGGACTTTATTCAAGAAGGAAGTCTTGAAAGGTGCAGGAGTAGGTTATCCCCCTATGCTGAAAGACAAGCCGGCAAGGAAGAAGACCAGCCTGGCTGAATAAAGATATCTGGCTGCTGTTCAGGGAAGAAAGGAGAATTTATGGCCTTCAGAAAAAGGGGCAGGTCACTCTGGAGGACTACAAGGATGTTGTGAGGCTGATCAGGGAGAGAATCAGAAGGGCCAAAGCCCAACTTGATGTCAATGGAGCTGCAGTTGTCAAAGACAACAAGAAATACTTCTATAAATATATTAAAGACAAACGGAGGACTAAGGAGAACCTCTGTCCCTTATTGGATGCAGCAGGAAACAGTGACCAGGGATGATGAGAAGGTTGAGGTACTTAATGCCTTTTTTGCCGCAGTCTTCGGTAGTAGGTCCAGTTGTGTGCTGAGTACCCAGTCCCCTGGACTGGAAGACAGGGACAGGGAGCAGAATCATGACCCTCTATTCCCAGAGATGGTTAGTGACCTGCTGCAGCACTTAGACATACACAAGTCTATGGGGCTGGATGGGATCCACCCAGGAGTACTGAGGGAATCACAGAATCACAGAATTTTAGGGGTTGGAAGGGACCTTGAAAGATCATCGAGTCCAACCCCCCTACCAAAGCAGGATCACCTAGAGTACCTCACACAGGAACTTGTCCAGGTGGGTTTTGAATGTCTCCAGTGAAGGAGACTCAACAACCTCTCTGGGCAGCCCATTCCAGTGCTCTGTCACTTGTCACAGTAAATAAGTTTTTTCTGATGTTTACGCAGAACCTCTTATGTTCCAGTTTGCACCCATTGCCCCTTGTCCTATCACTAGGCATCACTCATCATTGAAAAAAGCCTGGCTTTGTCCTCCAGACACTCGCCCTTATTTGTAAACACTGATGAGGTCACCCCTCAGTCTCCTCTTCTCCAAGATAAAGAGACCCAGCTCCCTCAGCCTTTCCTCATGAGGGAGATGTTCCACTCCCTTCATCATTTCTGTGGCTCTGTGCTGGACTCTTTCAAGCAGTTCCCTGTCCTTCTTGAACTGAGGGGCCCAGAACTGGACACAATATTCCAGATGCGGCCTCACCAAGGCAGAATACAGGAGGAGGAGAACCTCTCGTGACCTACTAACCACACCCTTTCTAATGCACCCCAGGATGCCATTGGCCTTCTTGGCCACAAGGGCACATTGCTGGCTCATGGTCATCCTCCTGTCCACGAGGACCCCCAGGTCCCTTTCACCTACACTGCTCTCCAGCAGGTCAGCCCCCAACCTGTACTGGTGCATGGGTTGTTCTTCCCCAGATGCAAGACTCTACACTTGCCCTTGTTGAATTTCATCAGAATTCTCCCCACTCAGCTCTCCAGCCTGTCTAGGTCTTGCTGAATGGCAGCACAGCCTTCTGGTGTGTCAGCCACTCCTCCCAGTTTAGTGTCATCAGCAAACTTGCTGAGGGCACAATCTGTTCCCTTATCCAGGTCATTGTTGAGTGTATTGAATAGTACTGGTCCCAGTACCGACCCCTGAGGGACTCCACTAGTCACAGACCTCCAACTAGATTTTCTTCCATTAACCACAATACTCTTGACTTCTTCCTTTCAACCAGTTCATGATCCACCTCACTACATGACCATCAAGACCACACTTCCTCAGTTTAGCTACAAGGATGCTGTGGGAGACGGTGTCAAATGCTTTACAGAAATCAAGATAAATCACACCTACCACTCTACCATCATCTATCCACCTAGTTACTTCCTCATAGAAGGCTGTAAGGTTGGTCAAACATGACTTCCCCTTGGTAAAACCATGACCATGACCCCCTCATCCTTGATATGCCTAGAGATAGTGCCAAGAACAAGTTGCTCCATCACCTTTCCAGGGATGGAGGTGAGTCTGGCTGGTCTATAGTTACCTGGGTCCTCCTTCTTGCCCTTCTTGTAGACTGGAGTGACATTTGCTATCCTCCAGTCCTCAGGCACCTCTCCTGTTGCCCACGACTTACCAAAGATAATGGAGAGCGGCCTAGCAATGACCTCTGCCAGCTCCCTCAGCACCTGTGGGTGTATTCCATCAGGACCCATTGATTCATGGATGTCCAGATTACTTAACTGATCCCTAACCCAATCCTCATCTACCAAAGCAAACTCCTGACAGAAGTGATCATTAATCCACTTTCTGTCGATTATCAGCAATCCTGGCTAACTGGGGTGGTCCTAGTTGACTGGAGATTGACAAATGTGACCTCATCTACAGAAAGGACTGGAAGGAGGATTCAAGAAGCTACAGGCCTGTCAGCCTGACTTCTTCGGTGTCAGGGAAGGTTATGGAGCAGACTATCTTGAGTGCCATTATGCAGGACATGCAGGACAACCAGGAGATCAGGCCCAGTCAGCATGGGTTCATGAAAGTCAGGTCCTGCTTGATGAAAAATATTTTTTAGGGAAAAATATTAGGAACATTTTTTTAGTGTTTTGTTTGTTTGTTTTTGTTTTTTCACTGAAAGAGTTGTGAGGCATTGCACCAGGCTACCCAATGAGGTGGTGGAGACACTGTCCCTAGAGGTGTTAAAAAAAATGGATAGACATGATGCTTCAGGAGATAGATTAGTTTTCATGGGGGTGTAGGGCTGATGGTTGAACTTGATGATCTTTAAGGTCTTTTCCAACCTTAATGATTCTATGATTCTGTGAGTTTAACCTGATCTCCTTCTTCTCCCCCCTGCCTCCTCTCTATCCCCTCTCCCCTCCTTTTTTTCTTTCCCCTCTTTTTTTCTTTCCTCTTCTTTCTTCTTCTTCTTTTTTTTCCCCCTTCCTTTCTTAACACTCATTAAAGGAAGTTTCTACAGTGCTATCCTACTGATGTAAATAAAAAAGTGATGTTCCTGGGATATGTTTTGTTTGACACCATAAATAGGCTGCATGGGTCTTCCTGTTCTGTTGCAGCTTTCTGTTGTTCACTGCAGTAAATTGAAACCATTCTGCTACTCATGGAATGCTTGTTGTGCTCTCTTGTAATTTCTTTCAATTTCTGTGTTTCAACAGGGGAAAGTCTTCCAGAACTATCACTTTTGAGCAGTTTAAGGAAGCTCTTCAAGAACTCTCCAAGAAGCGATTTAAAGACAAGAGTGATGAGGAAGCAGTTCAGGAAATATATAGACTAATTGAAGGAAAAGCCCCAATTATATCTGGAGTAACGGTATGTTCCTGATCTAATGAATGGATTGTCCTAGCTGTCCTTAGTTCTAACCCCTCTACTCTATGCTGGTAAGACCCCACCTGGAGTACTGTGTCCAATTTGGGAGTTCCCAACATAAGAAAGACATAGAACTCCTCGAGCATGTCCAGAGGAGAGACACAAAGATGATCAGAGGGCTGGAGCACCTCTCCTATGAAGATAGGCTGAGAGAATTGGGGTTGTTCAGCCTGGAGAAGAGGAGGCTCCGTAGTGACATTATAGCAATGTATCAATCAAAATCAGAAGGGGGCCTACAGGAAAGCTGGGGTAGGGCTTTTTGCATGGGTGTATAGCGAGAGGACAAGGGTCAATGGTTTGAAGCTTAAAGGGGGGAGATTCAGGTTGGACATTAGGAAGAAGTTCTTTCCTATGAGAGTGGTGAGAGGTTGCAACAGGTTTCCCAGGGAAGCTGTGGATGCCCCCTCCCTGGAGTTCTTCAAGACCGGGTTTGACGGGGACTTGAGCAACCTGATCTAGTGCGAGGTGTCCCTGCCCATGCAGAGGGGTTGGAACTAGATGATCTTTAAGGTTCCTTCCAACCCTATTAATTCTATTATTCTATCATTCTACTGAAGTTTTGTTATATTCACCTGATTCTTTTTTACAATCCACAAACCCAAACAGTGTGCCTCTTTGGGCCTGGAGGCATCTGTGCTGAGCTGAGTGTGAGCAAAGCTTATACAACAGCTGAGTATTGGACTGCTGTGTATTGTGTGGCACGGTTGTCATTGCTTCTGCTAGGAGTTATAATACCACCTAACAGCATGGTCAGTAAATTTCAAAGAGAGCTCTTATGTGTGGTTAGAGCATAGCAACGTTCATGAAGAATGGTGTATCCAAATAAAAAAGAGTAGAAGGGAATTAAATTTAGAACATTATTAAACAGTTCTAAAATGTTGTGTGGAATACCAAAAAGACTAAAGCACAGACATCTTAAAATACATATAATACACCACATTAATCCCAGAACACTGGAAATCTGGGAACAATTGTCATGTGTCATCTTTTTTTGTTTGTTTGTTCCAACTCTGTCAGAATGATAATATTTGGGTTTTTTTTCTTTTTTAAATGTTGGTATTAAGCTTAATTTACGAAAATGAAGTTATAAAGCCTAGTGTACGCAAGTTTGGTTGTTCTTTTGAAAGCTCAGGTTAGGCAAGCTTTTACCCTGTAGTGTAAGAGATACTGAAGTGTTTACCACCATTTTCAGTAGTCCTGTCTATTTAGTTCATCTGCATAAAATTTGTGATCCTCCTGAATTTTGGCTGTAGAGCTGTGAATGAAAATCTAATTGTAAATAATCTTTCCAGAAGCTGGTTCTATACAAATGAACAGTGGAAATGTCAAATGGAGAGATCTCTTTTGACTTGTATAACTTGTTACAATTTTTACAAGATTCTATTTTATTGCTCTTGTAGTCTCATTTGAAACAAGTGGTAGTTTTGATACTTTTTGTCCCTCACTCATTTTAGTGAGTTTGAGTAACTTGTTCATTTACCCAGGGACTCTCCCTTTGAATTGTGCATATTCTTCTAGGCCTCACTCCTGATTCCATTTTTGGTATTTCAACAGTCAGATATTATTCCATTTTAGAAGTTATCATACAAGTGCTGCAGAGGTATATAAATGTGCCAGCAGCAGCAGCAGAGGCATAGAGGGGGTGTATAAGCCAGCATTGTGAGCTTTGCCTGTACTCTTGTATGTGCAGTCCTGGGCAGAGTTGGAAAAGAAGTGAACACACAGTGGGAGAACAGGGAGATCACAGTATTCTCTCATGTTTGCTGACAAAGGAGCAGGAAGTAGAGCTTAAAGGGAGATAGATTGCAGGATAGGAGTGTGGGCAGAAAAAAATTCAAATTTTATGTTTTTTCTATAATGCTAGTTTGGTTCCCAGGTGGTAAAAATTACTCAAACACTTGGATATTAAAGGCATTAAAATAACTAAATACATAGCCACTCTTCCAGCAGCAGCCTGGGAATCCAGATATGAAATTGATCTACAAGCATTCTAATGCTTTGTTTTCTTTGGGAAGTCTATGTTCTGGACATTTTAAGTTGGATTGCTTTCTATATGGTTAGACATAGTTATATGAACCTTTTCTTGTATTATTCTAGGATAACTTAGTGATGCTGTGTGTGTATGTCGAGCTCTGCTGTAGGTCATGTAGATTTGGTTCAGATTTCAGTCAGAAAACTGTAGTGTGACTTCGACGCATTAATCAAAACATACTAGGGAGGGAGTTGAAAGCTTGATTACGTGAGGCTTCTGGATGACTATACTTAAGCAGCATTTGCAGATTATTGTGTCTTAACTTCTTATGTTTTCTGCTCTCTTTTTGGTGGGAGGGATGAGCAGAGCAATATGTATGTAAGAATGGCAGCCCAAGGAAACCACTGCTTCAACAGAATGGCTAGAAAATTTACTTCCAGGATTTTATTTATGTTGTGGTAGAAGATTTTTTTTGTTTTCTGCTTATTTTTTCTTCTCCTTTAGAATGTTGTAGAATTACAAAAATTCCTGCTTGTGGTTGATGTGGTTGAGAAGATTGAAACTGAGTGAAATTTTGGGCCGCTTTCTAATCTGCAACGGAAGGTGTATGGTTGGCTTGATCACACAGGAAGAAAAACACCAGGCAAGTGATAGGGGTTAATTAAGCCATAGCTTTATTAGCTCATTTGATAGTGATCTGACAATAGAATATACTGTGCAGGTCAATATATCTTTGACAGTTTACAATCAGACATGTAAACAATGTTTTAGTTGCCCTCACTCCTACAGAAAAGCTACAAGAACAAGACTGAGGTTCTTTCTTTTCCTGAACCAAAAGCTTTGTCCTGCAACTATGTTAATGCATTTCTACATGTCCTGTGGAACAGATATTTGCTTTGGTCATTGCTGGCTCTTAAAGAGAAACCAGTTGAACATCAGCGTGTATTCAGCAGGGTCCCTGACATAGAAATGTAGAATAGAAATTGTAAGGGACCCAGGATGATCCTATTCAACCTGCTGCTCAAAGGAGGGCTAACTTCAAAGCTAGATCAGGTTGTTTAGAGTCCAGTCCAGTCAAATTTGCTGTTGCGTGGGTTGCAGGGCAATACAGCAATGATAGCACTTTAAAAGCAGGGGATGGGTGCTCAGGGAGAGAGTGATGTTGCCATGATTGTGTTCTCATGGAAAGGACCTGATAGGGTAAGAGCAAGGAAGTCAGAGTGTAACCCACAGAGCACAGCAAGTGAGACATAGCAGTTGTTGTGGCTGGAGTGCGAAGCGGCTCAGAAATTCCACTCAAGACTATGTGGGTCCGCTTGAAGTCTGCACCATGGAGTCTCAATGTGCTGCAGGACATACTGTTCAGCACATGGACATCCCTTATGATGTAGTGGTAGTCTATAGGACTATCATTAGCACATCACAGGCCTTGGCTCCAGAGGGAGGAGCCCTCTATCCAGGTCCTGTGCTGCAGAGCGCTTCTGCCTCTCCCTGGAGATCAAGGCAGTGGTGGCTTCTCTTGTGGAAGGTGTGCAAGGCCCTAAGGTTCCATATTAAAGGTGAAGATTAAGAGACTGACATGTTTTGTGAAAAACCCAAGCTACATGAGGTGAGGAAGGAGCAACAACTAGAGACAAAGTCGAAAGAGACTCAAGATGGTGAAGGCTGGAAGCTTGTGACTTCTGGAAACAAGATGTCATAGACCTGTTCCAACTACAAATCTCCAGTTTCAAAATATATATAGTATTCTGGGCATTGGTGAGGATCAACAACACCTAGCAGAGTCAGGTAAGCCTAAACTTAATGTCCACACAAAAGGGAAAAAGTGAGCAATAGCGTCACCCAACACTACCTGACACCATGGAGGTAGGCAAGTTCTTTTAAGGATCCTTGGTAGAATGAGAACTGGCCATGTGTTTGTAGTTATACTTAGAGATTTATTATTATACAGCAATTATAATGATCAGCATTGCTTATTGTTACACAAAAGTTCTAGCAATTAGGATAGATTTCTTATTACCTAAAATTGCAGTTACCTATACTTTTCAGTCACTTGGACCCTCTGTAGATCAGAACAAATTTTTAATAATCAGTGTGCAATAGAATAATCACAATCTGGACTCTTGACTTTGTAATACTCAGTCCTCAGAGGAAGGTCATGGTGCTGTAGCCTACAGTGAGGTTGCCTCCCTCTTTCCTCTTCCATCACGTTGTGAGAGTCCCTTGTATCACACTAAGAAGCACAAAAACCTTAGCAGTCTGTCTGCTGTTGGAACAGCTTAAAACACCTTTTGGATAAGCTGATGTTTTTATACCTCTTAGTCTGGGGGTTTGGTCTATAAAATTTCCATAAGTTAGTGAATTCTGAAGAGACTGCCAGACAATCAGTATGCAAGAATTTTGGCTTTAGGAGACAGCAAGCTGCAGGGGATAATGTTTGCATAATTATTTTTATATCTTCCTGTCCATTGTGTCCTTCCTACATGTTGCCTTTGCTTTGACTTAAAGATGTTGCTTCCAGCATACATCAGGCCTTAGCATGAGTTGTGTGTTAGCCAAAATCTGAGCAAGCGTTGAGTGAACAGTCACAGGAGGCATACCTGACAACTGAGGGGCCATGGGTTTTGGCATCCAGAATATCTCATGTGCTGTTGTGCTTCACTGTTCCATAATAGCTGTCACCATACACTGACAACCAGGCTGTACCAGGTCTCAGGACCAGTGGATACCAGTCAGACAGTTACTGGAAGTTTGTCTTGTGGATGATTAATGCATGATTAAGGATGATGTCTCAGGAGTTTTGTTATTTGATAGGTGTGAGGACCTGGAATTGTTGCAGATGTACTGCCAAGAGATGTCCAGCCTTCTAACATGCACCTTCTTTCTCTTTTTCCTTGTGGATACCAGCAATACTACTATAGAGATAATCTGGTGCATATCAAGAGAGACTACAGAAGTCTGGGGGTGAGAG